TATTGAGGAGCGCACCTTTTGGGATGAGCACTGGGTGTTGTATGGAAACCAATTTGACAATAAATTTCATATATAAATAAAAAAAAAAATAAAACTTGCAAAAAAAATAAATAAATTCACTTTCAAGCTTGTGAAGTAGCTAAAGGTACAAGTATTAATCAACTTGTCTAAACTAACATTTGAGAACAGTGATGAGTCTGCTGCAAGTGGTGGAACTTGGGTTCTGTATGCATTTACTACACAAGCAATTTACATTTGGTTCAGTTGCATGGTCAGGTCTCCACAAAAAGTCTAAAGCTCATCTGGAACATTCTAAAGTGATGAGGGAGTATATAAGAGCTGGGGTGGCAAGAGGGTAGGGGCTCCACAAATTCATACCACTGCGACAGACGGATGTAAGTAGACTGGTGTTGAGTGGGTTTCCAGTTCCCACCACCTTTTTCACTCTTGAGTGGTTGCTAACGTTAATGTGATTTGATTATTACTAATAGGGGGCTCTGGACACGCAGAAAGAGGATTATGTTCATAGGAAGAAGTTAATTAAGAGAGTTATAGTAGGAAAGGGTCAGAGTCAAGCCTACATGGCATTTATCAAGCTGAAATTTAATTCAGCATTGTTCTGTTTAATACTTAAAGAGACTATTGGAATATTGGACTGTCTCTAGGAAATTAAATTTTTTGGCTTTTAATGATCAAGATAAAGGTAAAGAATTTAATACATCAAACGAGTCAAAGATTTTTAGAGCTGAAAAGGACTTAAACATTATCAAGCTTAAAATCAGTGGGTAAAAGAACACAAAGTTGAATAAGGTCTGTGGATTAATTAATAGCATTGTATCCATGTTGGCTTTCTGGTTTTGTTAATTGTTCTATGGTTCCATAAGATGTTAACATTGAAGAAAGCTAGATTAAGGGTATTCAAGGGCTCTTTGTACTATTTTTGCAAATTTTCAGTAAGTCTAAAATTATTTTAAAATAAAAAGATAAAAAATTATCTAGCCTAACCTTTTAAAGAAACCTAAGGCTCAAAGGCATTCACTTGCCTTCCTCAAGGTTATACAACTATATATAATAAAAGGTACTCCAGCTAGAACAACTATTTCATAATCATATCAATTCTTGGTTGAATCGTGTTTTTCAATGTCTTTGTTGACATTGGAATTACTTTTGAAATGCACAAAAGTTAATTTTTCTCCCCACTACAGAAAATATATAATTTTTAAAATCCAGGGACCCAGAGGAAAAAGAGATTATTATTCCTCTGCTATTTAACATGCCAAGAACGTGTTTACTTTTAATGAATATCATTTTCATCTTCATTTTCAGGTTATCTATTTAGTTCTTTTAAAAAATCTACCTGCCTATGAGGTGCCTAGGTGGCTCAGTCAGTTAAGCATCCGACTTCTGCTCAGGTCATGACCTCATGGCTCTTGGGTTCAAGCCCTGCACTGGGCTCATTGCTATCAGCTTCAGATCCTCTGTCCCCCTCTTCCCCTCTAGCACTCACTTTCTCTCTCTCAAAAATAAATAAATAAATAAATAAACAAACAAACAAACAAACATTTAAAAAATATCTACCTGCCTTTTATTTTTATGGTATGTGGTTATTAAAGTTTTGATTCCTCTTTAGTATCTTTAAATCATTTTAAATATGCTTGTTTCATAGTTTGTTTTTTTAAGTGTATTTATTTATTTTTTTTTTGAGGGAAAGGAAGAGAGAGAGTGCAAGGGGTGGGGCAGAGAGAAAGGAAGAGAAAGAATCCCAAGCAGGCTCGGCACTGTCAGCACAGAGCCAGATGAGGGGCTCAAACCCACGAAGCATGGGATTATGACTTGAGCTGAAACCAAAAGCTGCATGTTTAACGAACTTAGCCACCCAGGTACCCCTTGTTTCACAATTTTTATGATTGCTCCTTTATGAAATCCTTGGAGTTTTGATCATTTTGTTCATTTTTCTTATGATACTATGGATTATTTCCTCATCTGTTCTGTAATTTTGAATTCTGAGCTAATCTTCAGTGGTTTAGGCTGTGAGAATCTTGTGACCTGGAGTTGAGGGTGGAAATTCCATAGCAGTTTCTACCAGTTTCTGTAAGGAACCCAAGAAGTATCATTGGCCTGAGATTAATATTCATATAACATCTCAGTTTTGGGTTTCTCAGACAACGTGCAGTGTAACTTAACTCAGGATCATCAGGAGAAACAGGCCTGGAGTTCTTTCTCTGCAGACTTTTTTACTTCACTCTGAGCCCTGGGAAACACAGATAGGTTTCTTTAACAACTCTCTGTGTTGGTGTGCTTCTTGTTTTCTCTTCTGTCTCTCTAAGTCAAAGTCTTTGCAGAGTCCAAGTTTTATGTAGGATCTTAACTTTCTGTCTTTGCACGAGCATTATATCTCAAGCCCCTGGGTTCCTGGAACACAAACAACCACTCTGAGGGAAGCTATTCCATGAGCTCATGCCTAGACTGGTTTAAGCTCCTTCTCTGTTTGTGACTTGGAGACTTCTTTCTATTCTTGGAAGATCAGGCAGTGACCTATAATTTTTTTTTAATGTTTATTTATTTTGAGAGAGAGAGAAAGAGTATGTATGTGGGGAACATGAGTGGGGAGGGGCAGAGAGAGAGAGAGAGAGAATCCCGGACAGCATAGAGTCCAACGCTGGGCTCAATCTCACGAACGTGCGAGATCATGATCTGAGCTGAAATCAAGAGTTGGAACACTCAACTGACCTGAGGCATCCAGGTACCACTGCCCTATAATTGTTATCTTGTTTCCAGCATTTCTAGATGATGATGAGGAGGAGGAGGACAAGAAAATTTTCAGGTTATCATATTGCACTATCTTTCTGGAAGTGGAAGTAACAATGGAGATCTTTAAAAATGTTTTCATGTAAAGCTCTTTTTTTTTTTTTTTTAAGTCTCAACAAGAAATCTGGTGATGTTCTAGAAGGGACACAAGGTGGAGTTTAAGAGCCTGAGCTTCAAAATTAAACTGACATAATTAGCTATACATGCTTATATAAACTATATTTTAGCAAGTTACTTTCTCTGTAAAATTAAGTTGTTTTAAGACTTAAATTTTGGATTTCATATACACTAATATGTTTATATTACTTAGTGTACTACCTGATAATGTGTGTATGAGTTATTTTGACTGTTCTGTTTAAATTTTTTTTAATGTTTACTTCTTTTTAAGAGAGAGAGGGACAGAGACAGAGCATGAGTGGGGGAGGGGCAGAGAGCAAGGAAGATACAGAATCCGAAGCAGGCTCCAGGCTTTGAGCTGTCAGCACAGAGCCTGACGCAGGGCTTGAGCTCACAGACCATGAGATAATGACCTGAGCTGAAGTTGGATGCTCAACCGACTGACCTACCCAGGTGCCCCATTGACTATTCTGTTTAAATGAGATGTGTGAGGTATTAGAAAGTCAATTTCATTGGACTCACAACCTTGCTGTGTGGCATTGTACAAAAGCAAGTCCAAGACTACTGGATACAATGATGAAATCATGGCAAAGGAAAAAAGTTACCAAATTGGGGGTGGTCCTGTGTAATTTTGTAGATGATTTCTGAGGCACTGGCACCTGGAGCTTCCGCCTGTAAGATTCTATTGGTAATCTGCAGCATCCCACCTTCTGGAACCCACACCATTGAATTAGCCACGAGCCGAAGACCTCCATCATTCTAGAATAAGGAAAGAGTACAGAATTAGGTCCAAGCAAAATAAAAGAAAACATCAGCCCTTAAAAACATAAGTCGAAATGTACCATTGCTGCTAGTGATCATTTAATAAGAGAGATTCATAGCTTTGAAGTCACATTACGAACTATGTATGTGTATTACGTGTAGATACATGCATGTGTATGTACGTGTGTACGTATCTTGCTTTTTCTTTTAACTTATAAGCAAAGAACTTATTTCATTCAGGAAGACTGTCTCTCCATTCCTTTCTTTCTTTTTAAAGTTTATTTATTTGGGAGAGACAGAGACAGCATGAGTGGGGGCGGGGCAAAGAGAGAAGGAGACAGAGAATCCCAAGCAGATGCCGCACCACCAGCATGGAGCCCGATGTGAGGCCTAAACTCATGAACTGTAGATCATGACCTGAACCAAAACCAAGAGCAGAAGGCTTAACTGACTGAGCCCCCCCAGGGGCTCTTTTGTCCAAGTAACTGTCCTTCTATCCTCCCCATCCACCCACATTCAAGGAGTACTCATTAAGCACCTATTATATGCTGGCTCTTTTGCCAGAGGCCTGAGATAGGTAAGAATGGCTGAAACAAGACTTCAGTTTCAGAACTTACAATCTAGTGATCTCCCCACAGATAAATAATCAGGATGCATCACAAATGATGCACAGGGTGCTGTGGGAGAATAAGGGAAAAATGAGGTTTCCTGTTTGAGAAAAGAATGCTCAGGAAGGCTTTCCTATGGATATATCATTTAATTCTCAAATGACCAAAAGACAGGTCTTCTAAGAGAGAAGAGGTAAAATGAATTCTATGCAAAGGGCCCAGCTGAGGCAAAGACATGAGACAATGCACTGCATGCTTCATAAAATATCCAGGTGTCTGGGAAAGAAGAGTTTATGGAACCAGGGGAGCAGGTGAATAAAAAGGGACACTCTCTTAAGGTTGTGTAGGTAGAAGGTAGATGCTGTGCTAAAAGTCTCCATTTATCTGGTAGGCCCTGTAAAGTCAACATGTGTCTTCAGGGAAGGAAAGGGGATGAGCACGTCTGGGGTTTAGAAAGCTTTCATCAGCAAGAGATGGAAAGGGCTAGAACTGGGATGCGTCTGGGGCTGTAGAAACCATTTAACAAATTCTTGTAATGGCTCAGGTGAGAGAAGATGAAAAAGTCATTGCAGTGGGAATGGGGAGTTAGAAACAGTTTCCAGAAACACTAGAGGCCGAATTGACAGGCCTTGATGACTGATAGAAAGTGAAGCCTTAGAAACAACAGTTGGGAATCGCTGACTGGAAGAAATCACCTATTTAGCACTCCTGAGAAGGCAACCATTTTAATTGCTAAAGCTAATGTCATTAAAAAGTGCTGCCATTCCTGATTTGCAAGGTGTGCACCTCTTCCAAAGCCTCATAATTGACATTTTAGCACAGAATGAGATTAGTGAGGCTGCCTGTGTTCAGTTTGCAGTTTGTTTTCAAACTTTAAAAATCAGTAAATCTGATATTCTAAAATCAAGCACTTAAAGGGGATATTTTTATAAATTATTGCTATAGCTTTCAAATATGCCAATAAACAGAGCAAACACCACTCCCAGAAGGGGAATACTAAGAGCAGAAGACAACATCTATTTTTTTTTGCAGTCACCTGACACAACAGTATTTGCCCCCCACAGGAGGCGGTCATAGCTATTTTCACTACCCAGTGCCCAGGAAAACAGCAGCAAAGGTACTTTCTATTGTGATTGGTGCTCAGGAGCAAACTCCCAAAAACTTTCTCCCTTCACAATTGACATAGCATATTATTTACAAAAACACCAAAATGTGCCAAGAATTCCCTTCCCCTGGAATTCTAGGAGAAAAGTCCCTATTAACTCCAGCAGTGTTTCATATAATATAATATACTTAGACTCAGGTGTCTTAATTGCTAGCAATCTTTCTAATAGCAGCAGCCTCGTCAAGTTTGATCATGGTTACAGAGATCAGTCATACACCAGCAACCACATTCTTGGACTGATGAGGCAATGGGGTTTTTCATATTCCAAGCAAGTAAGTACTGTGACTTGTCCCCAGGTGTCTCTCCCACTACATTTCTATCTTAGCTAAACTTCACCGATACAATTCCCTGTAATTCCCGTGTGAGTATAAATTATTAGGAGACAGTATTCCTTGTAAGTCAGTATTCAGACACCAGCAACATCTGGAAACTTACTAGAAGTTTAGAATCTCAAGCCTCACCTCATTCTGAATTAGAACTTCATTTTACTTTTTTTCTTCAGCTTCATTGAAGTGTATTACTTGATAAATAAAAGTTGATATAGTTAAGGTACACAACATGATGTTTTGATATACATATACATTGTGAAATGATTATAACAATCAAACTAATGAAGAAATCTATCACCTCACATAACTAAACCCGAGTGTGTGTGTGTGTGTGTGTGTGTGTGTGTGTGTGGTAAAAACAAATTTCAAGCACATTTTAAGTATATGATACAATATTAAGTATAGCCACCATGCTATACATTAGATCTCCAGAACTTATGCATCCCTTGTAACTGAACCTCTATACCCCTTGACTAATACCTCCCGATTTCTTCTACCCCTGGCGATCACCATTCTACTCTGCTTTTATGAGTTGGACTTTTTTAGATTCCAAATATAAGTGAGATCATGCAGAATTTATCTTTGTGTCTGGCTTATTTTACTTAACATAGTGTTCTTCAAGCTCAACCATGCTGTCACAAATGGCAGGACTTCCTTCTTCCATAAGGGTTTATAATATTCCATTGTGTATATAGACCACATTTTCTTTATCCATTTATCAACAGACACTTAGGTTGTTTCCACATCTTGGCTTTTGTGAATAATGTTGCAATAAATATGTGAGTACATATATCTCTTTGAGATAAAGATTTCATTTCCTTTGGATATATACCCAGAAGTGAGATTGCTGGATCCATATGATAGTTCTGTTTTTAATTTCTGAGGAACTTCCATACTGCTTTCCAAAATGGCTGTACCAACTTACATTCCCACCAAGAGATTATATGGGTTCCCTTTTCCCCATACTCTCACCAACTCTTGTTATCTTTTGTCTTTTTTATTTTAGCCATTCTAACAGGTGTGAGGTGATATCTCATTGTTATTTTTTTCAATGTTTATTTATTAAGAGAGAGGGAGAAAATGCATGCAAGCAAGGGAGGGGCAGAGAGAGAGAGAAAGAGAGAAGCCCAAGCAGGTTCCATGCTGTCAGTGCAGAGCCCCACACAAGGATAAGTCTCATGA